AAGTCCTCCCCCACCTATTCACCCCACAAATATGAATCAAGGGATCAATGGATCAGTGGGGTAATTGTATAGAATGTCTTTAATGGAGAACCAACCCCTATTTCTTGCATACATTGCTCAATGCTCCTACCAAGTGTTAAATTAAAATTTACGGTAGTGCTAATTGAAGTCACATTTGTGTGTGTGCTGCGTGCTGTTAGGCAGGAGGAGACTTCTTTTGCTGGAGATTAAAACTTCAGTAATGTATTTTTGGGCTTATACCAGTTTAATGCAAAAAGCAAAACATAATTATAGGAGGCTGTTAATGGATTAAATGGCCAGAGTTGCTGTCTAGCTGTGTTCCAGTTTTAACTCTGTTGGCTTTGTGCTGTCTGTTGTCATCTCCTAATTATCTGTTCCTTTTTCAGTTGGCAGCTTTAACAGGTTGAGGGTATTATTCAAACCCAAATTAATTTGTGTTTTTCAGGAATTGCTTGAAGAGTAGGAGTTTTATTTGGAGCTTGATATGGCAATAAAATCTTTATCAGATGCAAAAGAGAAATATTTTTTGGCTGACTTTCACTGCCATGAAACTATTCACATTGATCAGCAAGAGCAGGAAATCTCTGGTGTTGCAAAACAAAACAAGAATTTCTGGAAGTGCTTGGCAGCTGATTAGTTTCTGCATGGCCTATCATCACTAGCTACCATCTCCTGTAGTTTCTGAGGGTAGAAAGCTATGGCACTTCCCCAAAAAATTGAATAGGGCATCTGCTCAGGTCTTAACTGATACTTGAACCATTGATAGTGATAAACGGAAGAATATAAGGAAAGAAATCTGGCATTAAAACCTTAAAATCTCGGGATCTTCATTCATGCAGCCAGTGAATTAAATAAGAATACTGTGTAGCATTTATATAGTGAGAAATTCTGCAAACCTCTAAGTCCCTTTAGAGTACTGACGCATTAAGTGGATTGCAGCCATTCCCCCAGATCCGTGCACTGTGTTGTCACCATCCACAAAAATAGACAATGAAAAATAATTAGTCATAGAACTCTATTGCAAGCATTCTAAGGAGAAAATAATCAGTGAATGCGTTTCCTAATAGATGCTGAGGAAACAAAGTCTTCCCAGAATCTAATGTTTCAGATGCATTAGCTACCAGCATGCTCCATGCTTACAGGGAAGCAGGATGTACTGAAGAGTTTATTGCAACAATCAAGTACTGCCTTTTAAAGATTAAAACATCCCCTGTATTCTCTCTTACAAAACATCTTTTGGTGAAAACGGGGAAAGGGATGGAGATGAAGACAAAACAAACACAGAAGGAGTTAATTTGAAACTAATCAAACCCCATTTTCTTCCCCTGCATCAGAAATCTATTTTATTTCAGTGCCGAATTAATTTTCAAAGACATGCCGATCCTTTTGAGGGGAATTCCACATCTTACAGCTGTGCGTTCTGCCCTGCAGTGTACGCCTTGCTCGCCCACCTGCTTACTGCAAAACACCCTGAACTTCCCAGCCCTGAGGCTGTGCCAGTAGAGCTGTGCTTTAGTCTGGTTGCTGATCTCCAGCAAAGACAATGCCTAGCCTGTTATGTTTTAAAGTAAAAGTGGTGAAGTTCAAACCCGTGTAAGAATGAGCTAGCAGAACAATTGTTACCTTGCAGAGTGTTATATTGTATTATGCATGGCCATCTGTTAATAATGCATGGTTTCGTACAGCAGTTAAAAAGCAGTTTCATTAAACAGTTTCATTTTAAGAATCATTTGTTAGGAATGCAGCTTCTGAAAAAAGCTAAATTCTCGTTCCATACTCAAAGTCTAACCCACATGCTGAGAAGAAAGGAACAGTCATATTTTAAACACATATTACAATTCATGCTTTGAAACATCATATATGTCTAGCCTTAAGTACCTCCCATTTGATAGTTAATTTTTGCCTGCTTTTGTTTTCTTCATTCATGTTGACTCAACAGTACATATTAAAATTTTAATTTCATTTCTTGTTGTGCATTTAGGTGCCAACGAGTTGAACTCTACCTGTTTAAAAGCTCATTTACTGGGGCAAAATTATGTCCCTTTGTTCTCACCAGGGCAAACACGGTTTTATTATCATGTAAGATTAAAAGACCTGACCTTTAGCATTGAAAAATACTGTGGTAACTCCTACAGCTCCTGACTTGAATACTCAGAAGTATGGTCCCTGCATAGCTGGCAGAGCACTAAAACGTATACTGCATCTGGCAGAGATGTGTATTTTCAGCTTTCACCTGAAGTGTGCATTAGCTACTGAATTGACTATATTGTTGATAGAACAATGCGTCAAGTCCAGACCTGATGAATCCCAACTGATGGGCAGGTATATCAATGGGAAAGCATACATTCACCATTTTAACAAAAACACCGAGCTAAAGTCAGAGGCACACTATCCCCTGCCCCTTGGTGGTGGAATTAAGCCATCCCCTCCTTCGTGACGAGGACTAATGCACAGCCAGCTCCGAGAGCACAAACATTGTCACTGAGGAGCAAAACACATTCAGCAACCTGCCAAAATGGGGGGAGCAAGAATGACCATATAATGCAATCACCCACATACACAGACAAAAGATGACAAGTGGAGGGAAATACCATTTTTACCTCAGCCTGAGAAAGGCTGAGCTGAGCAGCCTTTTTTCCTTTTTTTTTTTTTTTTTAACAGGCATCACAGTCATTCCCAGATTCAGGCAGTTTCTATACTGAGAGCAAACAGCATGGTCAACCTGCTTGTTATGTTGTGATACTTGAAGTCTTCTTTCAACTCCTCCTCAGAGTCTCTCAGTTACAAGACATTTGCTTGTTCACTCTAGAACAACTGCAACTACCTTCTAACCCTTGTGGTCACAGAATTGACCTCGAGAACAGCTCCCAGGGTGACAGCAAGACTCCCATTGTGGATGCTCACCCCACAGCCCTCTGGACCTGAGAGCATCCCAATGCATATCCGCTTTACAATGCTGGAAAATGATACAGTCCAATAAAATGGAAGACAAAAGCAGACTGTTAATAGCAACAGTTCACCATGCAAAAAAATACTGATAACTGCCAGCTGCACCAGCAGGGGATGCCCACATCTAGTATCAGTCGTAACACCAGTGAATTTCTGCTAATCCATGCAAGGGATCACAGAATCTAAAGTCAGCCCAGCCTTTTTCTCCTGCAAACATGTGAAGTACAGCTATTTTTAATCTGTGACAATTGGTATTACATAGAAGAACTTTAAAAGGCATTTTTTAACAAAATCAACTTTTTTACCGCTTCCTCCCCCATTTGGGCAAAAGAGTAACAGGAGAATAAGGCAGGGCTAAAAGACAAGACTCTTTGAATTTCAGACCCAGACTGAATTGTCAAAGCCAACATAATAGAAAAAGCATTTGATTGCTTATAAATTCTAAGAATAAAAAAGATTAAAGTACAGAAAACATAGTTCTTCCTTATGTTCACAGCCCTTTTCCAGCACATTTTTATAGTCATCTAAAAGACAAGGTACAATTTGTTCCTATATGCAGACTGCTGAAGTAATTGTCATGACTGAGCATTAGGAAAAGCTACGGTTTAAAATACACATTTCAATTTAAAAGTGATAGCTTTTATAGAGAGAGATGTTTGAGAAGTTTATTCGCAAAGTGAGATTTTAACCTTCTATCCAATTATTCTGCGTTCTCTATTTGTCATCTTTATCATGCAAACAATGTTAACTACACTCAAAACAAAATCCCATTTCTTCTAAACTTTGCTTCCCACATCTCTAGATTACTCTTTCTTGACCTCCCAAAACAATATTATGAATGTGGCCTTACTAAACATATCCCATAAATACAGCTACTTCAGAATACAAAGAAGTACTTTCAGATTAGTGTATGGTAGGATTTTTTAGTTCATTTTTTCTCTTTTCTAAATGTCAGAATCTCATAATGGCCTATCAACAAAAGACATCAGCAATAATCTTTCCTTCTGGCTGAAGATTCAGTGGGAAATAGTGACCACAAAGAGGCACACACAGAACACACCAGACCCAAACTTTGTGGTAGGATTTTGACTGAAACCCTGTCATAGTTCAATACTTCATGGTGCTGAAGCCACAAACTACAGATATCAAACAACATGAATTCATTAAATAGCTACAGGAATTTTTTAAGACAGTAGAAAGCTTTGAGAAATTAATACAACAAAATCCCCTTATTTAATGTAATTTTGATCAAACTGAAGTAGCTCAGCCGAACAAGCCCTGTTGTAAAATTGAAATGGGTCCCCTTTCTCATGCACTAGTTTTGCTACCAAGGGAATGGTGCTAAATTATTATTATTATTATTTTTTAAAGAAATTGCAGTCCATAGATGTATTCTTAATTAAGAATACATGTTCTAATGTTTAATTAGTCTCTCTGTTAAATACTTATTTTTTCCCATAGTTAAAATGTGATTTGCTTCACGTTCCAGCAATTAGATCCTTTACCAAACAGCGGAGTCTGTTTCTAGACTTTGTACTACATTCGGTCCTGGCAGACTGACCAAGATAATCCATATAATTTTCCTTTAGGAAAACTAGAGAGAGTGTGTTTCAAAGTTCCTACACACCCTACAGGACTTTTTCTCTTTGGGCAATCACATCTTTTCCCTGAGTTGTCTGCAGCTTATCATCAGTTTCTTTGAGTTGCTGATGGCAGAAAGTGACACTTAGTCCTTACCACAGAGAATTCCCACTTATATTTGCTATCACAGTCTCTGTTTGTATTTTAAGTTTTCTTGCTCATATCTCCAACAATGGTTAACATTTTAAAAGGATGTCTTTAAGTCAAACAGATGGTGTTACACTGTGTATTTGTTTTCTGCTGTTTACTTATAAAAATTCCACCATGTTCCAAGCTCACTGCTTCTCAGGCACAGTCTCCCATTCTGTCACCATCGCCTTAATATTTTTCCCCTCATGTTCAATCCTATATTGTTTGCATAAACTTTTAAATAATTAAATTTCCCTTACCTTATCAATTCAAGCTGAAAGGTCTATATCACAGGCCTCTTCATAATCCTTAGTTCTTCCAGTCCTATGTCACCTGCAAAGGTCATCTGTGAGAATCTACTGTGCTCCTTTGGGTCACCACTAAACATCTTAACTAGCGTAGAGCAGAAAGGAAATGCACAGAATAACTATTCCAGTTACTATGGGCCTCAAAATGCAAAGTTGCAGAACTTCATTAGGCAGATAGCTACAAAAGAAGTACAGAGAGAGTGCTTCAAGTAATCCTTTTTAAATAGTACACAGATATAATGCCATACCCTTAGCATCTGAATGAAAAACTTCTCCTAGGAAAAACAGCTTTGGAAGAAATCCATAAACTCGTCTCTGGTGTTTGGGTGTGATAGATTTTCTCAGCATATTCTACCTCATATGAATAAGTGGGCACAAGGCTTCACAAGATAAAGTTTAAATGTCTCCAAAAGTACAAGGAATGCTATGGTGTCAAGGCAACAGCTGAATTTGAAACACACACAAAAAAAATAAAAACATCACAGAACATGTCATGGAAATATAAGTACACACACTTCATGAATATTTATCATTGCATGTTGGTAGAATAATAGCACTGATGTAAGAAATATAAATTGAAGGTCTGCAAGACACACAATGAACTGAAGTTCTAATTTATTTGCCTTTGTTAATGACTCGTACTTTTCTTTCCGGGTCTTCTTTTCACAGAAGACATTTTACATGCACACTACATTAATTAGACATGTAAAAGACATTTCAAGCCTGCCAACTCAATGCTTTGGGCAGTATTCCACCAGATTTCCAGACAATTAGCAGCTGGAACATCTGGAAATCTCAGACAAATGGCCACCAACCATGCAAAAATCGACTCCATATCACACAAGCCTCTGACACATCCCAGGAGTTCAGAAGCACAGACATCACAGGAGGCTCTCAAGCCTCCTGGAGCGCATGCAGGGCACACTAGAGAAGCTGCACAGGCACAGACCATGTATGTGTGTGTGCACATGCTCTCATAGGGATGTCAGATTTGCTGTTCTGGGGTTTGAGGAGGCTGGAAGTTATGATAACTGTTTCTTTGTGAGCTTTACGTTAGTCAGTCTGTTATCTTCCTATCCTCTAGGACCTCCAGCAGCACTCTCCACAGAAGGAGAAAGGGCTGAACTTTAGTTGTGGTGTCAAAGATCCAGTCTAAGGGACTCAAAACCAAAACCTGAATCTGTTTCTTTTATTTCTTCCATTGGCCTAAAGGTCTTGCATACACCAAGACACCAGGAAGCAAATAAATACAGTATGTATCCAGCTGCCTTAACCATTGAAAAGGTAAGTCAGAATGATGACACAAAATCCTGGTATTTTCTCAGGTGTTTTCAGCATTCTGGCTGAGGTTTTCAAATCCTGATGCTCAGAGTTGGACCCCTAAAATTCCTACGCACACTGCCATGAAGTAAGTGCTGAGCACCCAAATATTGCATGAGGATGCCTTTCCCAGTCTGCTATATAAATAATGAGTCTCCATAACAGAGTTTACAGAGCTGGCTACTGGCCCTCACACTCTAGCACTGCCTGCCCCTGTGCCTTTGTCTCCAGCTTGTTCCTGATACTGTATTATGGCACAAGAACAATGCACAAGCCCTCAGCATCTTGCTGTCTCAAAATGAACGGCATTCCTACAACCGATTAATCTGCCAAAAAAAGCCAAAAGCCACATCTGACTAAAAGAACTTTCCACTTCAAGGCTTGTTCCACAATTCAGTTCAGCTGACAAATGCAAAGACAAGAATTTCTCAACTGTGCAGTTCCCAGTAAGGGATGACCTGCCCCTATTGTTAGGAGAGCTGGGAAAGGAGAAGCAACCCTCTGAAAAGGATATGACTGGGGGGGCATTACTGGGATGTAACACTATGAAAAAGCTACCACTTGCCTACAAGAAGGGAGTCAGGATCAGTTCCCCATATTCTCAAAGTCACTGAGCAGGGGCTGAGCATTACACAAAATGCTGGTGACATAGAGGAAAGGTAGAACCCCTCTGCCCTTGGAACATTTCCTTGTACCCCACCTGAAACGGTAGCCAATGAAAAAGAAAGAATGGAGAGTCTGTGGTGCTAAAGATGTGGCACATTTACACCACAGACTGAAATGCAGTTGAGCAGTGTCCAAGAGGACACAAAGGTTGCATGAGATGCTATAAATATAAAGAGAAAAACATATAGGCATATGCTGAATTCTGCCCATATTCAACCCCAAATTTTTACCACCCTGTTTATCCAATTACCATCCCATTTAGCTGAGCAGTGCTTAACTGAAATTCTTCAAGGTTAGGGCCCCAGGAACAGTTGCTTTCCAGGTCAATTCTTTGATTGCCTTTACCTCCATCTCTCCAAACACGCTGGATGCCCCCAAACCATTTGGGATAAGCAAACTTGTGCTGAATTTTCTGTCTGTCTAGTTCATATAGTACTTAAGCAGGGGGAAAAAAAACCCAGCCTTTGCTTGTTCAGCTAGCTTAATATTGAAGGTAGGCAGAGATGTCCTCCTTCCATGAATATGCTAAAATTAATCCAATTTGCATGGGAACATATAAGCAGCAAATATTTATTTATGATTGGGAGGGAACTGATCCAAGTAGGTAAGCTAAAGGTAGATATTAAAAAAAAAAATATCAGCATAAACATTGATCACTGTAACTTTCCTACGATTAGCTACCAGGTATAATTAATTTGTGCTTCCAGTCATATTAAATTGCTAACAAGCATAACATGTTTGAAATAAAGAAATAATTCAAATAAAATGCAATTAGGGAGATCCAGTTATTTCAGTCTGGGCAAAGTGACCCTCACTCTAATAGCCCGATAGTTAATGAAGCTGACTTTAAAAGAATTCCTTTTTCTCCCTGTGAATATTATCTTTATTTTTCTCTAAACTTCATACCAAAGTTTCAAAATTTAATTAAATATGCTACACAGTCTGGAGGAGTAAAAAGCAAGAGATATGTCAGCAATAGAAATGGCAGACTTCTTGTAAGCAGTCTGCCAACTAAGGGAGTCATATGCTGGGTTATTGTTGAACTGAAGCAGAAGGAGATAAAAAACACACAGGCATGTATTTTTATCTACTTTCAGTTAAGCATTGTGAAAGGTTGTGTTCTTTTAGCTGAAACCTTTCCTACTCCAACTAAGGATAAGATTGGAAGGGAGAGGTAAAATTGCCACAGTAATTTTTTTACTAGAAGACAGATCTCCAGTTTAGTGCAGAGGATCTTTACTTCTAAGAGAGATCACTGTGTTTTGAAAAAGACTCCTGGCTGTGGGCTTAAGATTGTGTTTGATCAAAAACAGCTCAGAAGGATCAGTCAAAGTCAGCATCTCACTCTCTTAATGCTTTTCTGCTCAAGGCTCCTAAGAAGAGGATTGCCATGAACAGGGAGTACAAGAACACTGCCGTGAAGCAACTCTGTGCATTTGTGCATAGATGAACCATAAGCATTTAGCAGTGTCTGAAGACATGGACAGACACGTACATCATTAACTAGAACTTCTTTAGTTTGTTACTGTTCCTCTGCTGAAAATTTATAGCCTCTCCATCAGAGCAGACTGCATGAACATTCCTCACCCACATCTCAAGCAAAGCTGTTTTTTCAGTGGACAATAAAGTTGGTTTGAAGCAAGCTCAGAAACTTGTCACCGAAGTAGATGAGAAATATTCATCTGACCAGATACAACCTCATTTCCAAGGATCACCACATCAGGTTTAGGCAACCTATAGATACATAATTCTTGGTGCATGAGTAGAAAACAAAGGTAAAAAATGAGAGCTTAAGAAAAAAGGAGACAAAGAAAATAATCACACTAGCTTTTTTGCTCATCTGGTGCCATGTTATCAAAATATTTAAGCACCTAGTAATTTATTCATCTATCATCTTATGGAGAAAATACAGACAAGTATTCATCCTATCTCTACAGAGGAAAAAAGAGAACACAAATTTAGCATGGCTGCACTCCTGAATCAACAACTGACTAAGATAGTGGTAATTAGATTATGAGGAAAAAAGCGGGCTAATAAATTAAAAAGATTAAGAAAAAAAGAAAAAGAACTCCTGGAAGAGGTACAGTTAAAGGACACGGCAACCCTTCTCTTATTACTTCCATTCTATTTTAGCAGAGGAGAACCTTACATATTGATGGTAAATAAGCAAGACTCATGCAACAGAGAGGGGATGCCTTCTGCAGTTCCAGAGAATAACAGCTTCAGAACCAGCCAAGGCAGAGAAGGCTGTATAAATACACGTGGAAGGCAGGCAAAAGCAGACTCTACTCAAGCACCTCTGCTCCCCACTTATCCCCTGGTGCTGAAATGAGCAGTTGAGCTCCATCTTTCAAACCTGCCCAAGTGTTTTGGAATGTATGCTGAGGAAACAAACACAAAAAGAAACTCTTTCAGCCTGTACAAGCAACGGCATAAGTAACCAAGGCATGGGATATTCAGAAGATTTTCTCAAGCTGTGACAGGACTTTCTCCATTGGCTGCTGACCTGGGACTTACTCTAATACTTACATGACCTTCACTCTTTCCATTAGTCTACATCAGCCCCATTTCCATCTGCTTCACCACTATACGTTTTCTCGTCCTCTTACCAGTTCCTTTCATGCACAGAACCTCTTCCGAGCTAAATCTACCTACAAAAATACTTTTATTAAATTTTATTAATTCATTAGAGATCTAAGCAAAATTATCTGTCAAAAAGTAATTGATTAAAGAGCAGTCATTCATTTGCTCCATTAGATTGCAATGGCTTATACTCTATCCTATTGCCCACACTCAGTCTAGCTTTTCTGTTGGGGCTGCCAATACTGTGGACTGTACCTCCTAAACATGAAAAACAGTTTAGGAAAAAAACCAATAATAATATTAAGAATTGCCACAGCTCCTAGCAAAGAACACCATAATGTCCTTATGTATACCATCTGTAAATTCATGATCTGCTCACACTTTATGTGCCCTGTGCGCATTGCAAAAACGATAGGTTCAACAGCTCAGACAAGGGTAAGAAGGATGAACCAAACT